TGAGTTGAAAGAGAAGTGAGGGTGACTGAGATTGTCAGGACTAGTCGGTTCGTCAAATTCCATTTACTGAACCTCATATTAAGCGAATCAAGTAAGAATTTTCAGGTCTGTTTAGTTTTGGAAAATACTACGGATCCCGAATTTCGACGCCGGTATCATGGACGAATGGATGTCGGAAGAAGTTTCCTGATCCTGTTTTATCGTGCAAAATAACTTGACTGCTATGTACAATCGCAGAAACACTGTTGCTGTTGCGTGGAGCAATAATGATGATGTGTCCTTTCAGGATCTGCGTTAGATGAGGAGTACTTTTTTGAGACGTATAAAATCACTTTGTTTTCTCAAACGGCTTTGTAAAAGCCGTTAGTGTTTGAGGTTCAGTACTCAATCCTTATCTTTAAATTACTATTTTGTTTATAATGAGTGGGTATTAATATTATAGGGTCCCATTACTATCCATTTAAATATTTTTGAACATATTAAGTCATTTCCAAATATGCTGTAAGTAGTTAAAGCATCTCGTGCTAGAATAGACCACTTTAAATTTCTTACTAACTGAATAGCCTGATTAACAAAATCTGTTCCACGGATTTTGGAAAATTTACCTATCAGACGGCAAATAAAGTCTTCCCTGACTATTAACTAAACCATTTGGACATTCCAAACTCTGTTTTTTCCCGACTAAAGTGGGAAGCTGCCTTAGCAAAAATTACGGAATCGCGTAAAATTGTGTTAGACTCACACACTTCAAAGAAGGCGCTGTAACACGCTTGAGTTTGAGATACTGATTGCTCTAATTGGAAAGTTGTTTCTGCCTTCTGCTTTTAATCTAAGGGAGAGATGTAATTGGACACAAATGACAAGTTATTTTTTTCCGTTGCGCATGAGTTATTTAATTGCCGACTCCGGGAGCTGCAGTTCGCACAAATTTGAATCCCACTAAAAGTGGGAAGGACTAGTGACCGCTTCTGTGTGAAATTCCAAATATTCTGGATCATTAGGTTAAATGTTGTATTTTATTAATTGCCAATTTGTTTTTTGTTATATTTAGCGTTTTCACCAGGACACTATTTGTTGTATGGCGTTGTAAAGCTGCATCTTTGCCTTTTAAAATGCATGTTTTGATTTGTGATCATCCCTAGAAGTGTTCCTACTGGAAAGTTGTTGTGAAACCATAGATTTATTATAAGTAACTTGTTTTGTTCCAAAATATGAGTTCCTTTGTGGAACCAGTATAGCATAAATAATGAAAAGCGGCAACAAAATGTGCCTTTTGAATACAAAATGCCCTGATCATTAGTCTCGGGGGTTTTGTTTTTTTTTCGATTTTATTCTATATAAGGGCTAAAATGAGGGTGAAAACGTTGTTTAATTATTATTCCAAAACCTGTCGAGCAGCCTAAAACAAGTCGGTGGGGTATTGAATGGATGAATGCATGATTTAAACTAAGCTAGCATCGGAAGACTGACTAATCACATCTTTCATGCATCACATCAAGATGTTTGATGAACTGATGCTTGCACAGTGGATAGACAACCTGTATTAATTGCCAAAATGAATTCTCAAGCCATGTACGGGTAGCAAATTCTGCAGTATGTGGTTGGAAGCTCAGCGTATGCATTATCTACAAACTTCATCATCCGTGAATTGGGCAAGTAGGTTAAAAGATAAGGTAACTTGTGATTAGGAGACCAATAAAATAAATCTTATAATTAAGGACGTGTTACGAAAACGTTCTGCTTCAATACAGGAGTGAAATTAGAAATGATTTGTCAACCACCATATCCACCACATTAGGCCGTCGATTCACTCGGTCAATCCTCACCTTTGCGCCTTTCAATAAGAGGAGCTTTCTTAATGCACCATCATTTAACAAGAACTCTTAATGATTACTGCAGTGCCTGTTTTAGTCAGGCAATTCGATACAAAGGAAGTTTTAAAAAGAGATAGGTAAAACCTCTGCCCAGACAAAGTATCCGTTGATCTAAGAGGTCCAAACTTGTCCTTGGAAAGAAAATGTTCCATGTCAAAGCATACTGGTGAGCAGTTAGATCTATAGCGCCTGGAGCTATTCCTGAAGACGTACAGGGACTGTAAGACTATGGACATGGATGAGAGGCCATGACAAAAGAAAGCTAAGCAAAACTTTAAAAAACGAAAGGTCCTTTATGGTAAATTTATTATTATCCTTTGAATGCATCACCAGCGATAATTATCTTCACTCTTATGCTTCGGTCATAAAGAGTTTTTCTGTGATTTCAAACCAATGGTCGGCCAGGAAAGAAGGTAACAAGATGAGTTGAAACAGTATAGACAGTGCCTTCCATTTCTTTAGATTTGGCATATGTTATGAATTTACTATAGGAAAAGGATCCATTTGGGAGAAAGAACTCAAGACTGGACGATGGATTGTGACGAGGATATTTTGCATAACAATCGTTTTTCACTCGTATATTGAAACATATACCAAAAATAGACACTACATTAACTGTTGACAGCTAATATCAAATAATGGGATATGAAGAAATTCCTCGATGCTTTAAGTTTCTCAAACTGAAAGACAGATAGATGTGAAAAGTAACAAAATAATGTAGACCTAATCGGCACAGTAAATTTCAATTTCGGCGGTGCAGATGGGTGTATTGTCATACATTTGGGAAGGGTGAACGAAGAAGTTATTGTAGATGGAGCGTTAGATATGATTATTGGTGAAAAAGGTGTGAAGAGCGAATTTGAATCAAGGAGGAGGAATGCCCAAAGACTCAGCTGTGGAAGGCACGAAATGAATGGCCCATAAAATAGTTTGTGGTTAAATAAATTTGATTTAGCTCCTGCATTTTTCCTTAGGTACGTAATGCACTGGAAAGTTAAAATCAGTCATTTCGATTTCATTGCCTCAACATTTTAGTAAAAAGACGATGGTAAATGTATGTATAGTTTTCTAGTCCCTACAAATAGAGAAACAATCAGCTAAAATGCATCTACAAAGATTTTTGCGTAGTCGAATTCCGTCGGCACTTTTTTATAATTAAGCGAGTGGAAAGAATGAAGCTCCTCTTGCTATTCGGAATGAAGTCTTTACAATCATAAGTAATAAATCAGTTATGAGAGGGTAAATGTGAAGTTAGACCTGATGTATGTATTCGAGAGCGTGTTTTTGGGTAGAAATGCATCTACCATCCTCCGTAACATACCCATTTGTTGTACCGAATAACGGTATTTTTATCATCAACTTAAGTAATGTATTTTGATGGATACAGTTGAAGAGAGAAAACGGTATTTCATTTTATGCACTTGCAGTCAAGGTCCCAAAAATCATAATTTTCGAAGTGGCACAAATTAAGGGTGTCACAGTGGACCATTTTCTCACTGTCAAATTGTGTTTATAAAGTGGCGCATTTGAGCTATAATTTATGTGAAAACATGTTTAATGACTTTGAAACTTGAATCTACTATAATTAAGCTGATTTCCGACTTTATTCATTGAGGTTGTTTTGTGGTGCTCATTACATGCTTTTGGTTTTCACTGAGCCACAAGATATGAAATATCTAGTAATTCTAAGTGTCAAAATCATTTACCGAAATAGTTCGCATTTAGCATGTATCCTACATTTTTCGGATTTTCTGGAAGTAGATGATATTTGCTGTCTTCAACGTAAAAATGATGTTTTAAATCTCTACGTGTGATATGTTTAACGGGTTGGAAATTCGAAAAGGAATTCTATAAAAGGATCAGGTACACTGGTGCCAAAAGGGTAAAAAATCTTACACAATTTTTGGCCGATGAGGGTGCGTTACATTGGCTGATAATTTTGTAATTTTTATTCTGGTGATTTTAATCTTGACCATAAATGAGTTAGATGGGAGACCTATCATGGGATTACGATGATGAGCCAAAGATAGCTGCTGTAAAATGGAAATGATAAATCTCAAATATGCTATCTTAAATTGGCTAGCAAGGTGCCTGAAATGGTTAAATAACTAACTGCATAAGTTCTCCTCATTTTTCTCCTAGTCCTCACTTAGCAATCAATTCGTTTCAATTAAGTACGCCGTTCCTTGACCAAAAAAATACTCTGACATAAATTTGATAATATAACGGTGTCTTATTTTCATTGTTTTGTCATTTTAAATGACTGCTAAGTGGATTTTGCCGTTCAGCTTCTATCTGCATTATTTGAAATGCAAACCTCAGTAACACCATTGTTCGGGAATTGTTTTGCCTGTTTAAAACAGCCAAGGGAAAAATTTTGATGCATTACCTTCTTGTGGATTAATTAGGTAACGAAATTTTACTCAAGCTTAAAAGCTTTTTACGCTAATAAATCGACCTCCTCCTAAATAATCCTACGCAATTTCAGAAATATCGGAAGTTAATTTGATATTTAGGTTGAGTATGAAAGGGGTGGATAGATGAGGAGCTGTTGTTGATAATCGCTTAAAAGTAATAACTCCATCTGCATTGTTTTGAAATGGACGAGATATCATACAAGTACACAGCATTTACCATTTTGTGGAATAATCACATACGATTGTCCCATTTGCATGATAGGCTACAAGCTCAAGGTAGAGCATATGTTATGGGCTAGGGAATTCACTTAGCTTTGGGTTCCTCAGATTACCAACTGCGATAAATTGTACTTCATCTCATCTCCAATATTTGCCATGGCTTTTGGACACCTTCCCAACGAATTCGCAAATTTTACTAATATGTTTACTTAAAGATATTTTCTTCATGTAGGACCATTAAATCATTCTTTGTTTTCGAACTATTTAGAACTGCGACAAACAGAATGAAGAATAAATATAATTGGGAATTTTTAATTGTTTTGCGATATTTTAGTAGAGGGTCATGTTGTTTTATCATGGTTTCTCGATTCAAAGAAGCGCAATCTTGTATTTTTCAATTTATGAAGCTTCATCATGCATTAAAAATAACCTGCAAGTAATTTTCTGATAGGGTCTGGAATGAGTAAAGCTACCTAAAATGTTCACACACTTTTTTCAGTAAAAATTGAACAATGGTAAAAAGCTTTATTTAGTGCGCTAATCATCCATACAAACAACAACACAATCCGCTATCCCCAATCCCTTCCACATAAGCACCGAACTCCTGCAAATCTCTTATTGATAAAAGGGTCTGGCTGTGTAAAACAACGAGTAGACTAGCCCTGACCACCTCCGTCTTGACCCTCCAACTCTATTTTAACTTCC